ACGGTCCTCGTAACCATGCTAAGCTCAAATAATGGTGTCATGCAGTGTGGAATGGACTACGGCCCAATCACCGCCTTGTGTACGGCTGGGGCGCATGACTCGTAAAGTAGATAGACAGGAGTGCTGCTGCCGTGCATGTTGAAGAAGGGTAGGCCAGTTGGGTTGATGAAGCGTGGCTCCCATCTACATGCGTTCCGGTCTTACTCCTTCGGGATTACACTGAATAAGGAGTGTGCGGATGGCGCAGTGCAAGCCACCCATAGTAGTTCTGTAGGCGCCAGCGTCCTGTAGCTGTCCTATGGAGGCCGCAACAACAGACAAACCCGGAATCGGATGTTGCAAACCATGTAGGCGCCATACTGACCCATTTTACAATCTTGGAAGGTGAGACAATCCTTTGACGTGCCTCTCTCTCCGTTGTGGAACCTCGAGCACGGCGAGATCTTGATTCTGCTAGGGGTACCAGGCCTGGATAACCTTTTCCACATGACACTAATCGTAGGTGTTCAGCAACTGCGGACAGACTGACGTATCAACCCGCCCAAATGACCTCCACAGAAGAGTAACGTGCGGTTCTCGGCATCGGAAGTGATCCTGATTTAGTAAGCCAATGCCACGCTCTTAGGAAACAGTATGCAAGATGAGGTCTCCTAGCTAAGCCACGCGGTTTCCTTGAAGACAGACGACATAAAGGATAATCCCACCGTAACTGATTTCATTAATCGCATACCTGAAAGCACGAGCAATTACATTGCCCTAAACAACTCGCCTACTACTCTAAGTTAATCCATAAATTCTCTTGCTGGTCAGAGATTATGGTGTTTCAGAGCCAACCTTAATGTTCCAATAATGCAACAAGGTTGTACAGGAGAAATTTGTAATCTGATATATATCGTGGATACACGTAGTAGTTAAAAAGTAAGTCACATTTTTCTTGATGTTGTTGGGTTTTAGAGTGCCCGCCGTGTGTCTGGACTAAGACACGCCATCACACTTAGAGATAAGGTTTACTTCGAGGTAAATCTTTTCGAATATTGGACCGAATCCAAAGTAGAGAACACTGGAACAGTGTATAGTATATGAGAGTGTCTCTACTGATCGATCTATGCGATCATATCGATCCCAGCAGATTATTACTGAAAATAAACAATAAAACTAAACCTACTGCGTGTGCGCCCAAAGTGCGCTTTTCCAAGCCTCCCCCTCCTGAACATGTACAGCCAGGTTAAATTGCGGATGATGATGTCAGTGCTTCTAAGCTAGAGCACCAGCTAACAAACGTTTTTTGCTAAGTGTCCACGGTCAAAACACGCTCAGAGCTTACGAATATTGCAAGTTATAGCCAGTGATTCCCTCTTTCTTCTGGAGTGGCGTAAACAACCTGCTCTTCACGTAGCTTATAACATCAGTAAGTTACAAGCAATGAATTGTGTGAACCTTGACCGTCGACATAATTTCCCTTAAAATTCTGCGAAATGTAATCACCAAAATAGGGTACATCATTTTTGAATGTTGCCGATAACACAAACTGGGAGAACAAAAATGGAGCAAGCGTTGCGAACTTTGTGGTGTTCATTGGGCCGTGTAAGTCTCTAAGAATGCAAATAAGGAGCAAACATGCTGTCTCTTGCCGCTTTCAGTTTACTCTTCAGTTGTTTCCACAGAAAAAACGGGTCTAATGTGGTGAATCATCACAACGTCTCTTCGGAAGATTGATAATACTGATATATGGGGAAAATATCGAAAGCAGTCAAGATACCGGAAGAGTGATTCGATAAAAGGAATGGCTATGTAATAAGCGGTGTAGGTCATTTTCAGTAAGATTCACAGTTATGTCATGCTCCATAACTCACCAGAAAATATTTATTCTCTTCAAGGATACATCCGCTGTGAAAGACACTGTTTTAAAATATCCGAAATCATTAGTGCCATCGCCTTCACAATATGCAACATACGTTGTTATAAATTAGGTTAGTTTAGCAGGAATGAGAAATGTTTACAAAGAATGCATGCGTTGTATCAAATCTGATGTGTTCTAGAAAGGTATCAGACCATTGGGAAGGAGGAAGACTATGGCGCTTGCAAAGAGACCAAATAGCGCAATGCCATGGAAAAAGCTCGTGTTTTCAAACTCTGTTGAAATTGTCTTCATCGCCTATAGTACTCACGTTCATTTGCATTTTAGACAAATAACAATGACTTCGCCGAGCTGTCGGAGACCACCGGTGCGGAACCACGTATAAAAGAACTACACATTTTGCGCACGGAAAGAGCAAATCATCTCGCCAATGCACAAAATTCAACTAACGTAGCACCCAATATTTTGAAGAGAAAACCCGTGACAACGCTGAGAGAAAGCCCAGTAGCACATCCAGAACACGGTCTTCAGGATAATCGACCATCAATCAGGCGAAGTCACGTGGTCTTCTCACGAACGGTGCTAGTCAGTGATGGGACAGAAACGGCGCAATATTGCTTTTCATCTGAAACAGATGAAGACGGTGAGGAAGATAGGAGAGGAGATCCTCATCCGAACCGTGCATCCGTTACGCTGGACGACCTCGCACTTGGTCGGACAAGGCAACCATGGACAGTGGGTCGCGTTATGAATCGCAGTAAACAATACAAACATGAGTACAAAACACAGTTTACAACAGATTTCACAACAAATCAGGGTCCATTAGAAGATGGTATACATAGCGTAACCAACCGAACAAGTGACAAACCCCAGACCACCCAACAGCATCATCACAAATGTCAAGCCGTGCGTCATTCCGTGAGGAAATTCGATGAATCAACATCGATTCCCTTCATTTCGTAAAATGAATTTACCAATATCTGTGATCCTGTGCGTTGCCATTCTGTACACCAACTGTAAATCGACATATCGTTCAGGACTATCGGATAATGGACTACCGAACTGTTGACTGTGTCGCTATAATCCAAAGCAAACGGAAACTGGTTGAAAGTAAAATTTTAGTTCTTAAGGCTTTAAGTTACAGATGGCCGGAGATTTGATCGACCGAAGCCGTCAGTAAACCTTATTGACCTGTCAAACGAAGTAAACTCATTAGCATCTAGATAGAAAAATGTCTAGGAGACATGGGAAGTGAAACACCGGGGGAGAGTGTAAAATAAGTTCCATCCGGCAAATTAAATAAATAAACTGAAAATTAGGTGTTGCCCACCCGAAAACCCTGCACAACACTGTGACAACTAATTACAATATGCTTCGGCTACGGTCCCAGCGATCGCAGTGACCAACGTTCACTTCAATGTTAGTCGCGGTCCACATTGAGATTACGCGTCACAATCCAATTCCACAACGTGTAATCCAAAATGGCCCATCAAATAAATACATAAATTACTCATCCCCGACAACAAGAGGCACGCATTTACAAACGTGATCATGGCATTAAAACAAGGAGTAATCAAAGTTGTACAAAAATACGTGTTTGCTATAACAGTAAATATATGTGTATGAAGTGTATATACGTATGTAATGGTGTATATGTGTAGCTGTGCATATTGTGCTGGTAAATCTGCCGCTGTATTCCTGACTGTTTGATAGCGTCGGAAACCTGAGAATAGAGAAGTGATAATCGTGAGTTGGATACGATGTTCACGGGGCAGCGACTCTAATTGTGCAGCGTCACAACCGCCACGTCGCAGTGTTGATAAACAGACATTTGTGGCTTTTTATAGAGGGAACGCTTGTTGAGTGAAAACCCACCACCTTTTAGAAGGCTGCCGGCGAACTGTTTGTTGAAACGGGGTAAACCCGAACCACCCAGCTGGCAAATAGCTCAAAGATAACCCATAGAACTACCTAGGCACTGTGAAATAAGCAAAAATCCTCGATGAGCGTTTGGGTTTCACCCGCATCAGAACTATCGCCAAAGGACATTGGAGGCTTTCACGGGACCAGAAAGTGAGATAAAAGGCAAAAACAGGACGAGTGAGCGGCTTCTTGTGGTCTTAATGAGGCTGATAAAATCCGTGTATGGTCAAAGTATATTTCAGGTCATGTAAAAGGCGAGATGTTAAGAATAAGCAGATAGGAGGAGGAGTCGACTTGTGCCCCAAAGTCCGACCACAGCCGGACAGTTTATGGATTTGAACTAGTCTTTGGTAGCTCTGACAGAAAATACAGTAGGAACTAGTTGGGAAACCAAATCACACACCAACCGGTGTGTTAGTCGATTTTCAACAGGCTATGGCAACAGCCGTTGATTGGTTCGCCGAGTTTGGTTAAATGGTCGCATACGTTTCGTCACCATTCGAGGTGGCATCGTCAGTGCGGTGGTGCGCAGATTTAGCAAACAAAATAAACAGAACATTGAATAAACTCCAGTGGTTAAAAGAAATAACCGAGGTGGAAAGGGATAAAATGAGACCCCATGACACAAACATCATACAAATCTACGGACTTCCAAAAGTGCACAAAGAGGGAGATCCGTTGCGACCAATTGTTGCCCTTCCAGGCACACCCATCTACAACATGGCAAAGGAGTTGTGGAGGCGCCTCAAACATCTAACGAATGGATCGCGTCACTCCATAAACAACGCTCAACAATTTGCAGAGAAACTCAAGAATTTGCATATAGATCATGACGAAATGATGGTTTCCTACCAAGTCACTGCTTTATTCACATTCTGTTAACTAGCAGCTGGCGGACGGCTGAACAACAGCGGAGATAACATTGGGAATATGACGACCGAAAGTATTTGCCAGCTTCTCCAGCTATGTCTCACGACGTAGGTCAATTGCAACAGGGATCTATGAGCAAGTGTAGGGGGCACCGGTGGGATCCCCAATATAAGGTCTGATGGCTGAGGTCGTCATGCAAAAGTTGAAGAAGACCTACTGCCAACAATTAACCCAAAGTTACGAGCCCACGAGCCCAACTTCTCAACAATGCAATGGAGGGCATTCAGTTTACACTGGAGTTGGAGACAGAAAACAAGCTCCCATTCTTGGACGTGTTGGTGACCAGGAGATTGGACAGTGGACTTCAAACATCCATTTACAGGAAACGCACACATACGGACCAAATTGCGAACTTCAACAACAACCACTCAAAGCGCCACAACATAAGTTGCGTACGGATGGTATTTCGCAGAATTAAAACACAACGCAGTACTGAGGAAGCGAAACCGGAAAAGAAACACCTATACAATTCATTTGTGCACAACGGATACTCACGCAGCTTCATCCGCAGTTCTGAACCACAAGCCCATAAACAACGATCCGATGCCAAAGACAGGCAAGCGAATCGTTTCGCTGTATATGAGGAAAATAGCTGAAATGACGGGCTGATTGTTCAAACAACAGCACATCATGGTTGCCCACAAGCCAAATGTTACATTGAGAACACTGTCAAGTCCAAAGGACACACGGGAAGGACAAAAATGAACAGATGTCGTGTACAAAATAAATCTCGAGAACTGTGAAAAGAACTGTGTAGGACAGACTGGAAGGAAATTATCGACCAGGATAAAAGAACATCAAAGAGCCTGTTGACAGCATAACACATCGTCACTGGTCTCAGCGCATGTGGATGTGGAGGGACATAGCTTCGAGTGGAAGAGAATGGAGATTCCAGCTCAAGTAGAGAGAAAGGGAGATAATTACTCGAAGCTTGGTTCTCCTCTAATAATTCTATCAACATGCGCATTGACACCGACCCCACATACCAACAACTCAGAAAGAAAAATCTCGGGCGAATTGGAAAGCAGAGCCCAAAACGAGGTACGCAGCAAACAGCTCGAGCGACTGCTTCGGTCACGGCGGAAAGTGAGCAAAGATCCCGGGGCACAAATCGAAGACGACCTTCACAAAAGTCACCTGCCCGTCGATCACGAATGGACGGTACAATCAGTGAGGTTGCGCATCGCGCATCACCGCAATGACAATACCACCTGGCATGGTGGCGAAACATATGCGACCATTCAACCACGCTCGGCGAACCTGTCAACAGCTGAACAACCAACCCGGACTACCGGTGTTTCAAATCATTTCGAAGGCCATGGTAATGCATGTTGCAGTAGACATAAAAATGAGGATGCGTGGGACGGGAATCGTTTTTTGTCACTATGGTAGTACACCAAAAATCAGAATTATAATCATAGGTGAAACGGAAAACTAGCTATCCTAGCTCAAATCAGAAAAATAATATTCGTGTTCCCCAGCGCTGCAGATTCTTGTACTTGTATTCTGGTACTTACATTCAGTCAGCCTATTTAGAATCCGTGATCATTTCACAGTTAACTCAATGTTCATTTAAGTACAGAAACAAAATCCACAGAATCCCTAGTTTGGAGAATTAGAAACTGATGAACAAGTAAATGACGAAATGTGAACTATTTGAATAATGGAACGTCAGAAGTACAAACCGATGGCCTCGATTCAGCTGACAATCTCTGCAAGGAGACCCATTCAGAGAATTCAGGTCTTCCTGATTTATAAGTCAGGCCAGCTTTATACCCAATGACACGATTAAAGCCTAACTAAACTATGGTTGGTGCTACCGATATAACTTGACGCATCCAGTACTGACCACGGTGACTTATCAGGACAAAAAGTGAAAAGCGTGCATAAACCACAGCGGATAGTGTGCAGAGATTTGATCAAATATCCACAATTTTTGCCGGGACAGAGTTAGCAAGAATAACGAAAACCTACTGTTATTAGTCACTATAATATCCTTATTTATACGTATGTATAGGGAGCAGGCAACAGTAGAGCGGTAATGTATTAACGGAGTGAATGAGTCCATTCAACCAAGATCCGTCACTAATGAGCTGAACACCCGCATGCAGATAAACGCGATTGTCCTAGTCTACAAATAAAATGTTAAAATGAATTTAAGAAAAATCGATTCCTGTAACGTCAAGTTTTATGGTGATGCGAATTCAAGCGGTGGAATTAAATCTGCCTGGATGTATAGAGCATCCTCGACTAAACGATAATTTACAACGGCCAGATAAAGTCTCGTAGTATGTTCATTGAGACCGTGCTTCTTGAAGTGCTGCCGGACATAGCGTACTAAATAGGTGGTCTCAGGTAAGCGCTAAGAATGAGCAGGAATATGAAAATTTGAACTGCTCAAACGTCGTTCGTGAGAGATTGTGATTATTGCATTTTTCGGTGTTTCTCATACGGCCATGAACAGCAAATGCCATATTGTATGAGCACACTAAGAAGACGTTTAAGAGAAGCGCATTGTATAAGTTGAGGGCCTAACTGTTGCTCATGTGTTGTCTGAAAGCGTAGACGCGAAACTATGCGCCGGTTAGCGTAGAAATGGAGCACAATTTCAGCCGATCGTTTGTAAGCCCTATCTAAGTCCCTTTGAAGTGATATGCGAACATCTGCTGAGTTGATAATCTGCAAAATACTACATATTTTAAGAGAGCAAGAACGAACAACATTTGTGCGGGATAACTTGAATTCAGATTATTTCGTGTCTTCAAAATCAACCGTTTACAGACAAATCGTGGGAGGAGTAAAGGAATGCAATTGAAAAGGGGATCAATAAGGGAACCAGTAATACACTGACAGCTTCAGGTTAAACCGGATTGTCAACCTGACAGTAAATTTTGGACTCGTTGCCTGCTAGCGTTTGTATGACCAAGTCCCATCTAACCCACATGTGGTGAATTTGTCCAACGTAAGGGGGAAAGTCGCCTCCAAATTGAAGTGCTATCGCTGAGTTTCAAATTCTCCGTTCCCCCTGAGAAATGTGACTATATAGGGATGGAAGCACAGCTTGAACATCTGCAAGAGCAGCTTTCTGGTCTAACAGGTTTAAGAGCAAACCGCAGTAGTTGGCTTAAAGCCAAGGCAGTGGACTTAGCTAACGGATTTTGCATCACAGAGGCTGAAATTTAAGGTTTATCACGAAGGAACATTTCGGTTCGTTGCAACAGCTACGCCGAAATGAGAATGTTTTGATACTGAGAATTGGCAAGAGCACTGGGGGTTGTCCTCATGAGTAAAAGGGACCATATTCAAAACATGCAATCGGTGCTCACGAATGAGGGTGGATTCGTCAGGGATCTGACAGCGCGAGACAGAACGGAAATAGTAGAAAATTCGATAGTGCATGAGCTACGTAGGCTACACAAAGAGAAATTAATCGACGCAAAAAACTATGGCGGAACTCCGCCTCTGAGGCTCAAGACTTCCTCGTATGTATGAATTGACAAAAAAAACGCAAAGAACGGGTTTTACTGCGTCCTATTCTCAATGGTTGCGGTGCCGCACCAGAAACTGACACGATGGTTAGCAAAGCGACTCGAGCCTATAGGTTCTGAGCTAGCGGTGCACAGTCTAAAAGACACTTTTGAGTTTGTTGACAAAGTTCGGCGCCTGAATATTCAAGATAAACGCATGGTATCCTTTGACGTCTGTTCCCTTTTCACGAACGTTCCTTTGGAGGAGACCTTGAACATCATAAATATACATGAGGACAAAGTTGGTCTGCCTGCACATCAAGAGAAGACCTTAGTATTTGCACGAAAGACGTCCAGTTTTGCTTTGATGGAAACATCTGTCGTCTAAATGCAGGCGTTGCGATGGGCAGTCATCTCGGACCGATTCTAGCTGACATCTTTGTGAGTAGTCCAGAGAATAACTTATTACGCGAAGTCATTGGAGCAACACACTTTTACACAAGGTATATCGACGACAATTTTGTTGTAGTTGACACTGTCCATCAAGCGAAAGTCCTTTCGGAAACGTTAAACAAATGTCATTCTAATATCAATTACACTATGGAGAGTGAATCAGATGATTCGCTTCATTTGCTTGACGTTGCACTTGAGATAGGAGATGGTTCATTCATAAGATTGACTTACTGGAAACGAAGCTATACCGGACAATAGCTACATTTCAACAGTTACTGTTCAATGAACTATAAAGGATCCCTAGTTCGAACTTGTCTTGTTAGAGCACACCGAATATGCTGTGAAAAGTCAATCGACGCTGAAATACGATACATCGAGTCTACCCTACGCAATAACGGCTATCCGAACCAATTGATCGAAGTTGCTAATAAAGAAAGGCGAATGGAGGTCCCAAAGAAAAAAGTCTTCATCACGCTACCATACAAAGGGGAACAGAACGACAGAAGATTCTGCTACCGATTAGGCCAAGCCACAAAAAATGCTACTACGCAGCTGAACTCGTGTTGTTACCTCAAACCAGGAAGCTGTTCCATGAATCCAACTTGGATAAGCCTCACGCGAGCTTTCTTCATTTCGCTGAAGCCTCCGCAACCCAGCGAATGAAACCTACTGTTTGCAAACAACTCAAACTTATGGCCAGTCTTACCTGGCCCTGATAAGATGAAGGCGATGACCTACAATTTTTGTTTCGTTGATTCTCTTTTCAATTGTATTCCTTTACTCTTCCGACGATGTTGCTGTAAACGGCTAATTGAGAAGACACGAAATAATCTGAATTCAGGTTATCCCGCACAAATGTTGTTCGTTCTTGCACTCGTAAAATTGCTGAAAGGTAATGTCTGCATGAATTCAATAGATCGTTAGCCGAGTATAACATTTGAGATTTGCACAATCACGAGACTAATTACTGGGGTTAGGAATACGCGTGTTCCAAGTGATGAGCCGTGTGGTGAATCATACTTGATTTCTAGTGGATCGGATTAGGTGCCACGAACTCTCACATCTAGATAAGGCTGGCGGTAGAATTCGTTCACCCAACCAATAACTAAAGCATTGACCCGATAGGCCTTCTGACTGTGACGTAGAGTGGGACGAGCAGAACTGTCAAATGCCACTGAGAAATCTACATTGGCGGTATCAACAGTTGTGCCAGCAATATAGATTCCGTCTAGAACAATCGTAGATACGTAGAGCACGACCGGCTCAGGTTAAATCCGTGCTGCATGGCAAATTTTTGTGTAGAGTTGTCCTGACATAACAGCCACAGGAAATCTCTCTCACAAACAACGATAAGACGAAAACGACTTTCACAAGTTCTTATCCAAGGAATTGAGAAAGAAGACAGGAACGGGCGATCACAAGTAAACATTATGAGCTGAAAATTACCAATAAGCAACGCTTGAAACACGCAGAAAAGATCACCTCCAGTGGACGAGCAGTAAGAGAAAACAGGCTGTCCGGTATGGAAGTCCCAAGTATAACTGATCCCAGTGGCACGCTTATTGGGGTTCGACAAAGCTAGAAATTGTATTATAGGTTTAAAATGTACTACGAGCAAAGTAAAAGTAGATCACCTCTAACTAAAATAATCAGCGCCGATAAAAACAGCCGTGTAATCACTGAACATGGACAGTGCATTCTACCGTATACTATCGAATATAAGCCAATTCATGGACAGACTGACAGTATAACCTCGCAATATCAAATGTGACCAAAGCCGTAAGTCCCTATATTAGTCGACACAAACAATCAGTAATAAGAGAAACGAAAGCGTTTCTCCACAATTTTGACATCATCACTACCTCCTGTCACTTGAACGTGTTCAAGCAAAACCGGCTCTACTATTGGTCAGTTGTGGTAACCGTAAGGTACAAGCGCTTCTGATTCGCTGCCCAAAACAGCGCTAACGCGATATCACATGATCCAGCTGGGAGCGAATGTGCTTTCATTTCGTGGATCTCCAAAGCAGTGGAAACGTGAAAAATGGCCTCAACAGAAACGATGCGCATATGCTGCTGGCTTTAAATTGCAAGTTATCGAGTTTGTCGAACAGTCTAATAATTGTATGACTACATGCCATTACAGCGTAAATGAAAAGCAAATAAGAGAATGGCGAAAGAAAAGGTTAGAATCGTCACTAATGCCTGTAGATAAGAAAGCAACACCACGTAGAAAAGTCGTTTCCTGCACAGGAAAAAACGTTGGCGCAGTGGATTACTTGTTACCCGGGTCAAGGTGTTCACAAGATTAAGAGATCCTAAATTTCAGCCATGCACTAGCGCCTGGTGCTAAGGGGAGATAGGGGCAGAGGTAGGCCGTGAATTACTAGGTGGATATTGCATGTGACCATGTTCAAATTGCGTATAATCTTTTTGCAAGCCGACCCTGCTCTAGAGAAATGAAACATTGTCCGAAGTGAATGGCTTGTGTTCGTTTGAATGCACCAGAGGTTCAACGATAGCGTCATCCTAATTGCACTCACTGCACCACAAAATATGATTAAGCAGTCTAGGAATCAAACGATGGTCATGCGTAAACTAGAAATTCTTGTCAATTGGACGACACCTGGCTAAGCATTGCTTCATTACCCAGGGGGACCAAAGCAGTATTTCAATCAGACCAACCGACGCTGTACAAAGCTGCATAATGTCCCGACGTCCTAGAATCACCCGGAGACGTCAGCCAACTAAATGTAGCAGAGGACTATACGATTCAAAGCTACCGGTGGTAAACACCTGAACAACGAGACATAATTGCTGCAGGCTCAATTCTAAATGATTACCCATGGAGTCTGCAAGTAGACACCAGTCAGCAGTGGTCTTAGGTGACTGCAGCGGGTGGGTCTCTGAAGTGTCGGTTGGTTCGATTGAAGCACGCACATTTCTAATTGTGTATCCAGTCCGAGCGCTCCAGGCAGGAATCTAACAATAAGACACAGTAGTGACCGGGTGTTAGAGAGCTGCAACCGCTGCGTGAGGCGGAGAAACTGTGATTTTGAATAGATGAGCACGAGCCCAAGAAAGTAATGGATCAATGAAGCAATAGATGAAGATAGCAAGAGTGGACCAGATCGTTGGGCTGCTAAATCAACCGAAGTCTGATCAGGCAATAATGTCACACTTGCCATTTTTGAAGGGATTCCACATGAAGTCGCTCCGTTGAAACACAACAAGATCTCCGGACCCAATAACATACCACCGCAGGTGTTCAAAGATTGCACCTCGTTGGTGACTGCTCTGTCGATCTGGTTAATATTTTGGGGAGGTCGAGGTCACCCATGGTGGTAGGATCCGGTATAACTAGGTAGACACAGAAGACATGCAGATTCGGACATTCAGATCTCGACACAATGATAAGTTGGCTTTCATACTCCCCGATCGCTGGATTTGTTGTTACAGTGTACAAAAACGGGGCAGTGGGAAAGATATATTTCAAAATAACACATCAAGCAAGAAAAGGTTACAGTTTGTGAGTAAGGCAGGAAAGTTAGCACACGTACACACATACGGAAACTACCTGCCGGAAGTGCGGAGGTTTAAAAGTTTAGGCCCGTTCTCCACCAACTCGCGTATGGTAACACGACCGCGTTTCTCAATGAATTGAGCCACCGCCTCGTACTCGTCGGACGTGATGTAGACGAACTTGCCACGATCGTCCAACAAGCCAGTGAGTTGACCAGAAGCAATGAGGGTTTTCAGCCGCTCGATGCACGTCTGAAATGTTTAAATAAAGGCCAACTCAGTGCTGATGACGTACTTACCATGTTCAAAAAGAAACTAAGACGTGACATATTGTCCACACATTAGGTGCCGAAAAAAGCCTTAAAGTTGGGAGGAAATTTCTGACCATCACATCAGCTGCACAGAAGGAATTCAAAACGCTGATCGTACATGTATCTGGATGGGTTGAAGTCGGGTCCGTCCATTTGCTCTCGATAATCTATAAGCTGGTGAGATGCGCCAACATGGGCTGCGAACTACAACCCCTGTGATCAACCACGGGCACTGATATGAAAACTTTGGGCGGAAAGCATCTAGAGACTTCCACCGTGAGTGGAGCACAAGGATGTCAACCAAAGAGTATGAAGATCAGCGACAGCCAAACTGTGACATGCGTGTGTGGCAGTAAAAACAATGTTTAGCAGTTGCTCTCTCTCAGAGTGCTGAGAGAAAGAATCATCGAAAGTTCCCAATGCGGATAACGTCCGCACGATCGAAATAGCAGACACAAAACTGAAAGTGAATCGTTGCACCAAATGAAGCGGGGTTAAGTACATGGAGAGTACTATAAGACTCAGCAGTGAATCATTCACCAATGTGTTAAGCGTTACTCGCCACGTGAAGCCGGTAATATAGTTCACCCTGCAAGGTCAACCTCGTCCAACCAGAGGCGTTATAACCTCTTGATCTTCCACGCGCCGGCGTCCAGTGATCCATCACCTCAAGTGCGCTACGATCACAATGTCGAGCTTTTAAAGAGTCTAACTGACAGACTCCTCGAGGCTGGTGAGGACTCGGTAAAAGTGAGGCAAGTTACCCGTCTTCGAAAGCAAGGTGATCAACAAAATCGGCCTATGAGAATCACTTTCGTGGACGAAGAAAGTCCAAGACTGATCATGTCCCGCCTAAGTAGGCTGAAAGGTATGAAGATCCATATTCGTCCAGACATGGACCCAGTATACAGGGAGCGGCTCAAGTCAGCCATCACTGAACTGAAAAGTAATTATACACGTTAGCAAGAGGTGCAAAAACACCTCAGCTACTGTGCCGCAATATATGAAAGAAAAAAAACAGTTGCATGTAGGCTGGGCTACCAGCATCGTTCCGGAAAGCTACCAGCCGGCTATTAGGCGACAAGAAAAATTATGATGTAAAATTATATTATGCTACGAAATGAGATCGTGGTTGGAGAGGGAGGCTAAAGGGGATAGGGAGGGACAAAGAAACTCACAGCACGAACGCCACTGAGTTCGGCTCCTAGCCATATCAGCAAGTGTGTCCAACCAAACGTGTTCATCGTCCTTCGGACCCCAACCAGGGAGCCGAGACGTTCCAACCGAGGCCAGCTCAGAAATGAGGGCCTTCATTCCTCTGGACCAAGTCATCGCTTGGCCACCCCACCTCTTCTTCCATCCACACCACCGGCGAGCAAACAACGCAGGTCTTGGAAGTCGGTGCGCTGGCATGCGTAACACGTGGCCGAACCATCGGAGCCTGGTGCGTGAAACAATGGTGCTGAGCGGCTCATTTCCTTTTCCTGTGCCATAAACAAGACGTCAAACATGCTTGCTGCTCACCCGGTGTTCCCACCAGATGTGAGCCAAACTGTGAAGGCACCGGTGGTCCAACGTAACTAGCCTCCTTATGTCTGCTTATCTAAGGGACCAGGTTTCGCAGCCATACAGTAAGGTCGAAAGTAACGCTGCATTGTACACTCTACCCTTCGGGGCAAGAGTGACGTTGCGCCGGCGCCATAGGTGGCGAAGATTAGCAAAAGCACTTCGAGCTGTTGCTATACGGTTTGTGACCTCGTTTTCGATCCCAAGGGTGCTGATACAACTTCCCAGGTAGTTGAATTGCTGAACGATTTCTAGCTGATCCCCACCAATGGGTCAGCGTAGGAGGCGATCCCTGCCAATCTTGGAGGAAAGCTTTGCACTTCTATGGTGCAAAGCAAAGCCCGAAGCGGGTGACAGCCAGCGCTAATCTGTCCAGTGCAGCTTGGCACGTCTGAAAACTGTCACAGATGAGGGCAATGTCGTCTGCATACTCCAAGTCAAGAAGTCGTTCTCCTGGGAGTAGCTACACACCTTCTAAGTCATGTCCTGTAAATGCAATCTCCATGGCTACGTCAATAGCGAAGTTGAAGAGGAAATGTGACAACGGGCATCCTTGTCTCACACCGCTGGAGATACTGAAGGGCGGCGACAGCTTACCGTAAGCCCTCACTCTGCCTGAACTACGCGCGTATAATATTCGGATAATATTCACATATTTCCCGGGCACACCTTTTCTGAATAGACAGTCCCAAAGGGCACATCGACCAACCGAATTGAAGGCACCTTTGATGTCGAGGAACACGACTACGGTGGGCCGCCAATATGTGTGACGGTGATACAACAATTGACGCGAATTGAAGATGTCGTCGATGCAGCCATAACCCCGACGAAACCCGGCTTACTCCTCACGAATCCGGCTTTCATGAGCGCCAGTCACTCTGTGAAGGACTACAGATGCAAGTGATTTGGTGGCGATGGGATCAGACTGATTCCTCTATGGCTGCCGCATTCCGAGCGCGAGCCTTCTTTGAAGATGGGAACAATAACGGAGCGGCTCTAATCGGTAGGGACAGTTTCCTGCTCCCACAGTTTGAATAGTAACTCGTGTAAATCATCCACAAGAGCAGGTCCCCCGAATTTGAAGAGGGCTGGATGAAGATCATCTGGTCCCACGGCTTTATGCAACTTCAACAGTCCGATCTCATGTCCGACTTCAGAGAGAGAGGGCGGTTCCTAAGGCACAACCCACGGAGCAGGGCGATCACTGGCCGGTGAGGAATCGAATAATTCCGGCCGATTAAATTGCTTTTCAAAATGCTCAGCCCAACGCTCCAAACGTTTTGACAAATTGTGGTTAGGCTGTCCACTATCGCCGTAAATTGGTTCACTAACACCAGGTCGCCTGCTGCCCGTTTCCCGTATTAGACGGAATAACGTTCGATAGTTACCAAAGGCAGCGGCTACTTCCATCTCTGATGCACGAAGAGACCACCAGGATTCGCGGTCTCTTCAGGCTAGCACGGAGTTTTGCCCGGAGCACTTTGCGAGTTTCTTTGTGTTCGCTTCCAGCCGGAATATGCCGGCGAGCATCGATACGTTCTAGAGACCGCGAAGAGGCCCAATGTCAATGTTCGCTGTTAGACATTCGGGTTTGCCTGCTGCTAGTAAGGGTTGGTGAACATGTGACCAGTGACCTTCAATTGTCTCCAGTGAGCGCTTACTCAACTCGCATGTCAGCGTAGTCTAATAGGCATTCAGAACAGCTGGCTTCGTCAGTTGGCTGGTGTCAATGCGCTTACACCGTCGTCGTGGGCGTCCGCCAAAACGCATCCGCAGGTCAGCACATACAAGTGCATGGTCGGTGTCCACACATGTGCTCCAAATCGAGCGACAATTCTGGATGCAGCCTCTCCAGCGGTAAGTTATCGCAATGTGACCGATTTACATCCATAGCTGGTTCGAGGCTGGTGGGCGCCAAGTCACCCTCCGGCGGGTGCTGTGTCGGAAATTAGTGCTCGCAAGAAATAAGCAAGCATCTACACACAAATGAAGTAACCGCTCACTGTTATCATTACGGGAGCCTACACCATGTTGGCCGCCAAGATGCAGTTCATCAGTAGATAATTTTCCAACTTGAGCGTTCAGATCCCCGCCAGCACTACAGTGTCTGAGCTTCGTCTGTGGCTAAGGAGCTTGTTCAGTTGACGATAGAAGTCGTCTTTTACCGAGTCATCGCTAGAATTTGTCGGTGCATAGGCAGCAATGATGAATAGACACCTAGTAGTCCCGCGCGACTTCGAAGCTTTGAACGAGCCAACCAATCGGACCGCACACATCCGGCTACTGACTGGGATGCAAACAACCAGAGCAGCTTCAGCCCGGGGACTCAGGGCAATGCCAACACCAGCTTGGCCGGTGCTCGAAGCTGCATCGTCACCGGATAGGCGCAATGAGAAAATACTGCTGGTGTCACCTGAAAGGGATAGAAGAGTGAGCACAGAGCTCGAGTCTTGCATGTGCATCTCCGATAAGGGGCAGATATCGATGGAGAGGGTCTCTCAAGTTCGGGCAAGCGTTGCCGGTTGACCGAGCTGTAACAATGTGCGTACATTGAGGCATGCCAATCTGAAGGAGGATCGAGGGCTCCAAATGGAAGCCGATGAACAGGGCTTGACCGCTTGGTTGGACATGGGCTTGTCGACAGGAGAGAACTGACGCTCCGCGTTTGCATGTGAATTGAAATTAGAAGATAAACGCCTAGCAAAGCAGGTTGGAGGAGGGCCTAGAATCAGGGGGTTGAAAATTGAGGGGATAATAGTGAAGTTGGAACGGGACGGCAAGAGTGAAAAAGCGTAAAAGGGGGTATATGAAGATGGGTAGGCTTGAGCAGCAGCATCCAAACCCCTATCCACCCTGCTCGATGCAGCAGATAGGGCACCGTTGATTATCTTCTGCGGTGGCCAGAGCATCACGAAACTGTTTGGAGAGAAATTCGTTGTACTGCGTGGGCAGGATACTCTCAGGTTGCCCAGGTCTAGACAGGAGAAGGATTAGGGTTCATAACCAAAGCCTTTGGTTCAAAAACCTTACCGCAAGGTAGCGGGTCTGGAGTTGGGCTACAAGGAGTCTGTTTTAAGGAATAACGAGCCATCCTCATTCCAACCCCCAACTTGGAGCACCAGGAGACTGAGTTTGTCTGGTCTCTAACCATTGACCAATCAGGTATGAGTGGCTCTGAAGGTGCAAAAAAGCACCACCCAGCATAGCTCAATGGACCACAGAGGCACACAAAGCATCGCACCACGGTAAGGTCCAGCCTCATTACGATGGTTGAGCTGAAAAGACGTACTGGTGAAGGGGAAACAAATCTTCGTATCGTAAATTTTCGGGTGGTTTCCAACAATCTGCGAAGTGGGATAAACAGGTTGCTCACAC